AACTGAGGTTGCTCATAACATACCACAACTCACTGATATGAACTTACCGCACAAAAGACCCTCCTCTCTGATCAGTTTGCGGGACATAAGGAACGTTTCTGTGTCGGTTGATTTGTACCAGACATCCACAATCTGTGCAGATTCAACAGAGACGGGCGTTTAGCAAAAATACTCACTTTACAAATGTGCACGTTAACAAAAATACTCACAGATCTGTCCAGTACTGTGGGGATGAAGTCATATCCAATACCTTCCACTTCAAATGGAAACTTTTCACTTTTCTCCTCTGAGCCAACCAGAACAGAGCCTTCAGGATCCACACCGACTATCTAAAAAACAGAGATGAGAACTGAGGTAAGAGGCTGCAAACGGTGCAGGGTTGGAGCTGCCAATATACAGATTGCTTCACTGATTAATATAAATTTCAGTAAAACAAAACTTTTATTTCAGATTCTAGATAAGTGGGTTGGGAATCTCGCCTTGACATTTGGACATCTTTCCTTTAACTTTCGAGCAACACCAGTGAGTGTGCCGCCCGTGCCGGCTCCGGCCACCAACATGTCCAATTTACCTAAAAACAGAAACACATTTTCTTTTCCAAACTACAAAAAACATATATTTTTGGGATTCAAATAAACACCTGTTCCATGAGGATTCGCAGTTACAGGAAAAACTATTTACGCCTTCCTTCATTCATGTCAGTTTGACGTATAGATCTAAGTTCCAGGAAATATAAAATACACACCGTAAAATTGTAGGCAAATCATCACTTGTTACAACTAAGGTCTGCAAAAGATCATCTCTGTTTGCACAAGACAAATCTTGTGCTACAGCAGCAGAAGACCACACTGGGTGTCACTGACAGGAGTGAATGGGAAACTTCTGCTGCCACATTCGAAGGGTAAGGTCAAAATTTGGCATAAAAGATAAGATCATCTTGTGTTAATGGTTTAAGGTGGTGGTGGTTTAATGGTGTGGGGGGTCATTTCTTGAAAAAATTCAACTTCAAGCTAGAAGATGCATCAAAAATCAGAGTTTCTATCAGCTCGAACCATCACACTGCTCCAGTATCTCCTCAGCCGTGGTGTCGTAGTGAGCCAGGGGGTTGCTTGCATTGCGATACTGGTCAAGGATGTGCGAGTTGGGGATCTCGTTCTTCAGACGCCAGGCCGTACGTATATGAGACTCTGGTGAATCAAAAGCTGCAGCTGTGGGTGTGCGGACAATTTCTGCCCCGAGAGCTCTCAGGACATGCACCTAGGACACAGGAGAGGATGAAACTTCAATACATTCCTCCCACTGAAAAGAAGAAGAAGAAGAAACAGAGCTACTTACCTTCTCCATGCTCATCTTCTCAGGCATCACAATGATGCAATGGTAGCCTTTTACTGCAGCTATGAGGGCGAGGCCAATACCTGCACAAAGAGCAAGATTTATTTAAATGACCTTTTTCCTTCATTATATAGTTATAATACAGCCGTCAGCTCATTCGCTCAAACTGATGTACCCGTGTTTCCAGAGGTGGGCTCGATGATGGTGTCTCCTGGTTTAAGGACCCCGGCTCTCTCGGCGTCCTCCACCATGCGCAGGGCGATCCTGTCTTTCACACTGCCTCCTGCATTGAAGAACTCACACTTGGCCACTAAACACAGTCACCCATTAAAAACAAAAAAAGATATATTGCATCAGGGAGTGTTCAAAGTTAATCCAAAAGGTTTTCATTAGATAATGCGTGACAAATTTAATATGCATTGTAAATAACTAGGACTGAACCAGTGCAGAGAGAAGAATAATAGTTAATCTATTAACCTTTACCAGGTCACTGACGACCCATCTATGGTTGGTAATTTGAGAGGAAACATCTTAAAGCTTTTGAAATAAAACCTCTATATAAAACTCTAAGCTTAGATGACTCCCCAATCACCCGCTAAAAGGTTAACAAGTATGAAAAGCATGCTTCTGTCATCTGTAACTAGATTCTGGTTCCCACGAGAATCTAGTTTTTACTTTGCTTTTATTTGTCCTGCTGAAAGTGCGTGTCTATGCCAGTCCACGTCTTTTATTTCCACAGAGAACAGTTCATGTCAGATCTCCTTCTGTAATTCTGACTGACTGTGTTTGAAGGAATTAGGAAATTCAATTTGTGGAGTGTGAGATCTGGATCTGCTCTTTTGTAAACTCATAGCAACACAGGGATAATGACATGCCTGCCAGCTACTGCATCAGCAACAACATGTTGTTAAGGTACCGGAACAAATATAAACTCTATTATTTCTCAAGTTTAGAGCTGCATTTTATTTGCAAAGGTTTTCTTTTTACTCTGTTGGATGGCAGAACAAAGAGTCTTTCAGTCTCACCTCTCCATCCAGGGGAGCGAGCTGCCCCCTCATACAAGAAAACAACAGTTGCACAGTGAAAAAACATAAGGCCACCAGCTACATGATACTTCAACGCTCCCTTTTTAACAGCTGAGCAGGAAGCCAAGAGGGACACAGTGGGTTCAACAGCCCTAGCTTAAACAACGGCACCTCTTCCACTCGGATGCATCAACTTAACAACATATCCCCTAAAAGACATTCTTTTACACAAATATGGTACGCCAGGTGAGATGTCACTCTGTAATCTGCTGCTGCTCAACTACAGTCTCATCCAAGCAGAGGTTTTTTTCACCCCACTAAACACAGTAAACTTATCAGCTTTCTCGCTGCTTAGGAGGGAGAACAATAAAGCTGCTGTTAGGACATTTAAAGCATCTTCTATCCTGAAAATAAGAAGACTGCACTCCTGCTCATTTTCTTGCAAGGACATATCAATGTCATTTTGGGGTGAGCGAAGGGGACTATTCAGAGAGAAAACTTAACATTTCACATCCATAAATATCCATAAACCCATATCTTTTGGATTAAAGTTGTAGCTTTGCAGTACAAGTACATGGATAGCAGTCAGGTTAAGGATCATGTTGTTTATTTATTAAGGTTAATGTCATGTTTTATATTCTAAAAGGTTAATTCTGTTTAAATCTGTTTTGTATAGTACTAAAACTTAAAGCATGAAAAATGTGAACCTTTCTCTAAGTTTCCTTTTCCTTTCTTTTTTACTTATTTATTTAATTAGCTTACCCTGTTGTGTAATATTCAAGCCTCTGCTTTTACAAGCAAACTTTCAATTAGACTTATTTGCTTGAATGCAGAATAATAATAAAGATTTTGCAAAACCGTAAGCAAAAATAAGTTGTTTTTTTTAAATCATCTTCTTACTTTTACATAATTTGTCACATCTTTTACTCACAGATATCACACTTGAGCCCAAACTCTTTGGGGATTTTGTTCAAGCGAACCAGAGGTGTGTGTCCAATTTTCTCAAGGATGCTGGAGAGGATGTCAGAGGGCTTGGTGCTGTAATGTAAGAGATAACACACACTAGGAGATACCATACAGGATTTCATGTATCTGATGAGAGTTTAGCCAAAATTAGTGGAATTGTCAGAAATATCATCACATCATACACTCACTGGGCAATTTGTTAGGTACACCTTGCAAGCACTGGGTTGGTTTTCAAAACTGGCTTGAAAACCAACCCGGGAAACATTCCTCAGAGATTTTGACCCATGTCGACATGATACTATCACACAATTCAATCACCTCACAAAGATTTTCTTTTGGATTGAGATGTGGTGACCTGTGAGCTGAGATCATCTGAGCTTTACAAACACTAAAGAGGGAAAAGTGTAAAAAAAAAAAAAACCCTGTACACTAATCCACCAACACAAAGTGCCAGAACCACTGATACATGTGATACATGGCAAGATGGAGCCATGTTTTCATGTTGTTTACATCAAATTCTAACCCTGCCGTCTGAATGTGGTGGAAAAACATCACCATTTTCCCTCATTCTGATGCTTTGTTTGATCTTAAGCAGGTCATCTAGATCGTGTTTACATGCACTGAGTTGCTGCCATGTGATTGGCGGTTTACATATTTGCATTAACCAGCAGTTGAACAAGTGTACCTAATAAAGTGACACATCAGTGTATGTGTGACATCTGTTTGTCAAATCAGAATTAAATATTGCTGGTGACTCAACTCTGCTGCAAAAAGTGAAGTAGACAGAGTCACTAGTTTTATTTAAAGACACAGCGACCTCTTTATTTCTCCAGACTCTTACCATGCTGAGTGGCTATGAGGCGACTCTGACATGGGCGCAGCCAGCTTCCAAGTACATCTGCTGGGCAAATCAGGACGGATCCACTTCGTCTCATCAGGAGTCTCGTCTGTGTTCTCCAGCTGACTCTCAGTGAATGATTCATCCTTATCTTCACCATCAGCAGATAACCTGTCACAACTGTTCACAGCTGCTGTAGCACAAGTGACTTCTGCATTTGTTGGGTTAGCTGCAGATGTGCAAGGAGAAGGAACTTCTTCCAAGGATGCAGCACCAGAAACAGAGGGCATGGCTGCAGTGGGATGAGACATATATTATCATCAAGCTGTATTTTTTATTTTATCTAACCATGTATTAATTCAAAGACAACTAGCATTAAACAGTTGGGTTGATATCCTCCAATTATAATTTTAAGAATTTGTTGCTTCTTCTGTCTCTGTCTCCACATTCCACTTATCCAACTTTGTCTTTGGACAGTGGGAGAAAACCCACACTGGTACAGTCTGGCCACATACACGTCACACAGACAGGCCCAAGCAAGCAAGCAGGCTTGAACCTAAGCTGTGTTGCTGTGAGGCAGCAGCACTGACCCGCACAAAATATGTGTCTGGTACAATTTATTTCTATGCTTTTTTCATGTAAAAAGCATGATAATATATTAAGTAATCCAAAGTATTCAGAATACGTTACTCTCATTGAGTAACGTAACGGAATACAAAATACATTTTCGGGCATGTATCAGAATCAGAATCAGAATACTTTATTAATCCCTGGGGGAAATTATTTTTTGTTACAGTGCTCCATTTTAAACAAACATTAAGACAAGACAGACAATACACTAACTAAGAATAGTACAATATATACATATATACACATACATACTTCACTCATATTCTGTAATCTGTAGTGGAATACATTTCAAAAGTAACTTTCCCAACACTGTCCACAGTGCAGTGCTTTAGACATCTGGCTAACAAGCAAAAGCACATTTTTGCTCCAGAATCAAAATCAAAACATGAATATGAATTGGAAAAATTATGATACACATTCTCCCTGATTGGCATTTGCTTCAGTAAACAACAAATCGATTTATTTAATAATTTAAAAAGTGATAGCCATTCCTCATTTCACATTATACAACTTCAGTTTTTGGGAATTACAAGCTAGACAATTAATAGACAAAAGGCCTTTAAATTTAATAGTGTCAATAGTGTCAAAATAGTGTCAAATATAGTTAAATATGTTCATATTTTCTCCCGACATAACAATAGCTCACGACTAGCATAAAATAACAACGTTGTAATAACGTCGTAACATCTCAGCAGGTAAACTTGGGCTCTGTTTTTCCTGATAACGCACAAGTGAGTTCAGGAAAGCCTGGAAATAAGAACAAAACCAGTCTTTCCACAGCTGTGCACCAGAGTACTGAATCTCTGCTGTGTTTAAAGCCATTCATATTGAGCAACACGAAAAGGGCAGTGCACTCACCTGTGTGCCGGACATGAACCCTTGCAGCTGTCAGATGGACACCTGAGTTCTCTGCGCTTTATTTTCAGGTCCCTATCCGCCAATCAGCGCACAGTGATTGGTCTTGCCCCTGAGCATTTATGTCCAATAGCATGCAGCGTGGACGCTTCTTACAATGAATGTTCAGCGATCGCAGGATGCTTTTTATAGAACTGTTTTTACTTCAAAATGTATCTATATTTTCTACCGTTACTATCCAAGCATACAAAGAAGTCTCTCACACAGCAGGGTTTAGCAGTGGGCTTTCAGTTTCACGCTTATGTGGTTTTGACTGTTACAAAGAAGCCATTTCTGAGAACTTTCATGTATATAACTTCTTAATTTTCAAATTAACGTGTTTTTAATCTGTAATTTTACATCGATACAGATTTTAAGCCTCTGAAAATGGGGCATTCCTAATTTAAATGAATTTAAAGGTCCGGGCTTCAACCGCATAATGATTGTTTGATTTAAAATCACAAAAACTGCCACTCTCCTAAAATATATTGTGGCGTGAAGAATATATACTACGTTTCTGGCATCATTGCTGTTCACAGTGCTGCTACCGGGCATCGTCTGGAGAAAGTTCTGTATAAATAAATAAAGATTGTATGAAAATCTGTAGTGGATGCCCGTGATGTTTGGGTCTTTGAAATGCATTAAAAGCAGACATGGAAATAACTTTCTGTGAATGCAGTTCACTGTACCAACCACAAAAGCTCCATCGTGTAAAGAAAGTGCGTGAACGTGATGTAGAAATGCTGCTGTTTTCACTGAGCCAAAGATCGTTCAAAATGGACCGAGCCAAAGTGGAAAACTGTTCTGTGATCAGATGAGCACATGTCCCCCTCCTCTTCAGGGAAGGCCTTGCATATTTCAGCAAGACAATGCTAAACTTCATACAGCATCTATACAACAAGCATGGCTTCACAGTAGAAGAGTCCACGTGCTGAAGTTCAGACTTTTCACCAAATGAAAACATCTGGAGCATTATGAAAAATAATGATGACAAATACAACAAAGAAGACCCGGGACTGTCGACCAACTTATCCTCTATGAAACAACAATGGAACAACAGTCCTCTCCCAAAAGTCCAGCATCTGGGTCCTGGACAACGAAGCTAGCTCGGCATATTCGGTGATATCTTCACATTATCTGAATCAACTTACCTGTAACCTGCACAAATCAAATCAATGAGCGGCCACACGATCAACTCGATAGTTTAACCCTGGGTTTCCCTGCGCGTTCACATGAAAGGGGTGGCGTTAGCAGAATCTGACCAATCACAAGCGGTGCGACTGACTTCAGAGAGATAAAACTATATTATAAGAGGTTAGAAGCACGGGGAAAGAGGTTAATAGAATTCAATATTGTTGAAATTACAACTCCATCGTAAAGTCGCGTTATGCTTTTAGGGATTATAATAAATATATATATATTTTTAAATCTTTATGCATTTGTTGTTTAAAGCGGAACAAAATCCAGAATCTGGGCAAATTTGATGTCAGCAAACACAAATAAATGCTCTATTTTGACATCGTGTATTTATAGAGCGATAATACTTTAAATTATTTTCCAGAGAGCTGATTGGTCAGTAGGGTGATTTCATACCAGCGGATCTCTAATCTTAAAACTACAACCGGCTTCAGAGCAGGTTATGGTCACAGGATAGGTTTCCATGGAGACACTCCTCCTTTAAGAAGTGAACCACCTTAAATGTGCAGGAAACGCAGTTAATCCTGAAATTAGCTGGATAAGACAAAAGTGCTTCATAGTATGGGCCTCTGGTCTCAGTTCCCCACGGAAGAGGATTAGGGCCAACAAAAAACAAAAACGTGGGCACATCTTTTCTTTTTTTCTCCTTTTCCAGATTAAAGTCAGAATTCTGACTTTTTTCTCAGAATTCTGGAAAAGAAGAAAAAGGACATACCCATGTTTTTCCCCTCGGTGGCCCTAATCCTCAGCTGTAGTTTAAACATTCAGTTCTGTTCTACTGTGAATAAAAAACAAACAAACAAATAAATGTTCTCATGAGATTCGCAAATCATTGCATTGTTTTTATTTACATTTTACACAGCCGGATATTGTTTTATCCGCCTATGAAACAAATGATCCAATTTCTGTCTACAGCCTATATGAGATATAAAATCTTGAATCACATGTAATAGAAATGGAAGTAACTATGGCAGCAGAAATGAGTGGGCAAGAAAATCCTGTTTTTTTAATTTTTAAACTAAGAAATTATCCTAGATCATGAACTTCTTCACGACTAAGTTCAACAACACACTACATGTGAGGAATAATGACTCATCAGTGGCTATATCTGATTTTGAAATGAATGCTTACTATGAAATATGAAATGAGACTCAGTAATCATTATCGTTTGGTACAAATTTAAATTTAATGAAGTGAAAGTCATTTTCAGAAATCAAGAAAAACCAAACTCCTCAGTGGATTCACATCTTCGAAACAGCTACCTTTCAGTTAGTCCCAAAACAGATCTGCAAGGGTACAAACTTAAAAAAAGACAGGGATGAACACAGGGAGGGCAAGTAGTCACTGCTCGAAGTTCAGAATCGCCCCGAACGTTCTCTGTCTCTGGAGCGACGTCTCTCATGGTCACGGCCGCCTCCTCGACCCCTGTCCCTGTCTCTGTCCCTGTCCCTCGAGCGAGACCGCCTGTCTCTTGACCGAGACCGAGACCTGATGCGGCTGTAGGTGTGAGGAAGTAGAGGATTAGGAACCGTGACAAAATGTGAAACATCCGAAGGTTTAACGACGTGCCTGACATGCAAAGTTTGTACCTCTTCCTTCGACGGCCGTAGAGCTCTCTCCTCAGCTCACGTGAGATGGGTTTCAGATGCATGAAGTTACAGAAACCACCACGAGTGCATTCCCTGTGGAGAGAGCACACAAAGCATATGAAAACCAGGGCAGCAAGAATCAGAGAACCCAGAGGACATATTTCACCCATCTCTCTACTATACTGGCTTCTCTTCATTGGTTCCCTCTTGAATCAAGAATCTAATTTAAAATAATTCATATACAAGGTCTTGAATAATCAGGCCCCATCTCATCTTAAAGACCTCATAGTACCATATCACCCAAATAAAGCACTTCACTCTCAGACTGCTGGTTTACTTGTGGTTCCTGGAGTAGTTAAAAGTAAAATGGCTTTCAGGTCCCCTTCTCTGGAACCAGCTCCCAGTTTGGATTCGGGAGACAAGTCACCTGCTCTACTTTTAGGATTGGGGTTAACACTTTTCTTTTTTGCTAAAGCATATAGTTAGGGCTGGATCAGGTGGCCCTGAATCCTCCCTTAGATATGCTGCAATAGCTGTAGGTTGCTGGGAGATTCCCATGATGCATTAAGTGTATCCTTTTCATTCCCCGTTCTTTCTCTCCAATCACTATGACTTTATACATCACTCTCCATTTAATCATCAGTTATTATTAATCTCTAGCTCTTCCATAGAATCTTCTAGAACCTGGTTTTGCTGGAGGTGTCTTCTCATTAAAAAGGAGTTTTTCCTTCCCACTCTCGCCAAACCATTTGCTCACAGGGAGTCATCTGATTGTTGAGTTTTCTCTGTATTATTTTAAGGACTTTAACTTACAATATAAAGCGCCTTGAGGCAACTATTGTTGTGATTTGGCGTTTTATAAATAAAAATTAATTTAATTACTTTTCCCAGGAACAAACAGAAGCTTCTAGTTAGAAACTTTACCTTGAACTTACAAAAAAAAAAAGAAGTACTCATGAGTGGACTGTGACAGTGACTTTCATTAGGCGCACCATGAATAGGATACCAAACACTGCTTTAAACTTTAAACCTCTAAAATGAATCAGCTAATTGGCAAATAGGTCTTACTTGTGCTGATTAAATGATCAGAAATTGCCGAACAGATCTGAGTTTCTGTTTCTCTCCAGCACTTTTTTTTTTAACAATAAATAAATAAATACATAAAACAAGGTAAAATAATCAAAACTGGCCAAACCTATACTGAACAAGAATTTCACCACTGCTAAACAATATCATATTTCTACCATCCTCACTTTAGTTCAATAAAACAAATACTGAACTACTGGAAACACATAGCTGGTTTTGCAAATGAACTTGATGTTGGAAAAAACAAAAAACAGTTTAGGACACAGTCTGAAGCTGTCCTTTATTACACGTGGTACACAACATTAAACAACTGGAAATACTGTGTTGGTTTTGGCTGAAGCAGCTGGCTAAACAGAGCGACGACGACGACACACACCAGGCATCTGCTCACTAGCTGTGAATTTACCAAACTATTATAATCTGACTCTGTATCAGAAAGCTGGCCCACCCTGACTGTGTTGGATATTCCTGTTCTGGACCCTCTGTAAGGCCTTTTGGGGTTAAATACAGCTTGTAAGCTGTTTCCTTTGATGTAAAACTCACCCGATCTCATACTGGCGACAGCAGGCTTCTCTAAAGTCTGTGACAGGAGACAGCTCAGCATGGATGGGCTGTCCATTAAACCACCGATTGTTTAGGTCTATCACAGCCTTCTCAGCGTCCTCCTCTTTACGAAACTACAAAGAGAGATGGCAGTCGAAGAGAAAAGTTATGTCAGTGGATCAAAGCCAAATTTCACTACATTTCAGGGAAAGTGGAAGCCTGACACTCACCTTCACATACACGTTTCCAACTAGGTGGTCACCGAGGTTGTCACATACGTTCATTTCCTCCACTTCGCCATACTTTTCTTCCATCTCTGTGAACACCTCCTGTGAGGAAATGATAGAGAAGTCAAGTCTGATGTTATGTGCGCAGTGTTTGGGAGTAACGGAATACATGTACCGCCGTTACGTATTTAAAATACAAAATATGAGTAACTGTATTCCGTTACAGTTACCATTTAAAAAGGTGGTATTTAGAATATAGTTACTTTGCTGAAATAAATGGATTACACGGCGGTATTTTCCTGTTTCATATTGTCGTGGGTCAGGACTGTTTGGGTTTTGTTTGACAGCTAGGTTCCAGGTGGCAGCGTTATGGTTGCCATGGTTACAGACTCTCTGCGACTGTGTGTTTCCTGGGTGAGAGAGCGCCTTTTTGTTGTTGTTGTTGTGCTAAGCTACAGAATGCTACAAGCATAGCTCTAAAGAATGTAGCCTCATGGGCAGTGTAGTCCGTGCTGCAAGGAGAATGGACTGCCATACACGTTATGTGTCTGTGAGCGTGAGGAGGGAGAAAAAGGAAGTAGAAAAGTACAAGCTGTCATCGAGTAGAAACGGGAGCTGGAAGCATGTAAATATAATAATAACCACTGCAGCCAAGAAGAGAGCCTGACGAGCCCAGTTGTAAGTAAGCTATTAAGACTCGACTGTACACCGTGTTCCTGTTTTCCTCCGAAACAATAAGTTCCGTTGGAGCAGCCTTTCAACCCTCTCTCTGTCTCTCGCTAGCAAAGTTGACTCACACGACAAAGTAAAGCTAGTTTTCGGCTATGAGCCCGACACAGAACCCGCCGTATCAGTCAGAGGTCCCTTTACTACAGTTCGGAGCCGCGGACCTTCAGTAATAGTAATAAATCACATTAATAGTACATTCACGTTGTTGTAAAAAACATGATAATATATTAAGTAATCCAAAGTATTGAGAATACATTACTCTCATTGAGTAACGTAACGTAATACGTTACAAAATACATTTATACATTTTCGGGCATGTATTCTGTAATCTGTAGTGGAATACATTTTAAAAGTAACCTTCCCAACACTGTGTGCGCATTGTGAGCATTGACTACAACAAATCAGTTAAGAGCCCGTTAAAGGAAAATATGCACGACTCCTTTCTCAGTGGGAAGCTGAAGAAGATATCTGAACCCACTCTTCTGTTTGTTCAGTGAATGTGCAACAGCAGCTATCAGTTAGTTAAGATACGCATGTAAAATCTTTGAAAGAGCACCAAAATAGATCTTTTTCCAAATCAATGAACACAACATTTAGCTGTTTTAACCCAAGCTGTTCCCCATATCCAGTATTTATCTTAGACTAAGCAAACTAACTGCTGGTTGACGTTCACCATACAGACATCAGAATGACATCAGTTGTCATCCAATTGCCCAACAAAAACTATATTTTGCATGATGTCACACCAATCCAACTACTTTGCATCTTTTATTTTTAGTTCTTGAGAATGGATCTTCATTAATTACCTCAAACACGGTTAGAAACAAATGCACCAGTGGAAAAGCGGTGCGGTCATGGTTTGAGGCAGAGAGGCACAACATGAGAAATACTTCACAAGGGAATGAATTACCTCAAAAAACTCATCATAGTGCTCCTGCATCTCCGTGTCACTGATGGTACCTAGTGGTTAAAGATAATTCACAGTTTCAGCAACAAACACTAAGTTGCATAAAATAATTGCTTGCAATGACATCAATGGTCAGTTCACATTAACTGCTCGTTTTCAGGTGGTAAACGTAATTAACGTGCAAATGCATTTCTTTAAATTAATAGGTGTGAGTTAGCATTCAAAATATCTGATAAATGAAAATTTAAAAAAAAAAAGGAAGAAGAGACTTGAGAAACACCCTTAAACAGCGTCATGAGTGGCACTGGCAACATATGCTTGGAGCAAGAAATTAGGAACTGATCTGAGCAGAGCCAGGGAAAGCTCGCATCTGTTTGGGAAATCTATTTATACTTTATATGCTTGAAAGTAAATAAAACATATCCACAGATATATTTAAATATTTTAGATTTTAATATCAGCAAATGTCATTATCAGTATATCGGTCTTAAAATCCCTGTACGCAGAACGCTCTTTCAGAGTAAACCTCAGACTCTAATGTCTAATTTGTCTGTGATCCAAACAACAGGTTAAACCAAGCTAACCTTTAAATGTAACAAATGTCAAATAAGATTAAAAAACAGCTAACCAACAGTTTGTTATAAATAACAGAATAAATAAATCCAGTGAATACGTGCTTAAGATGATGATGATGTAGACATGAATAATCTATACACAGTGTAATTGTTGCTATATTCCAGATAGAAGACACTTTTCAGTTGGCGTGTTTCTGTAAGTACAGCTAACACATTGATTTTAATTAACTATGTAAATAAAACCATTAGAAAGGGCTTGATAAGCTTCGCTTCATTGTGTCACTTTAAACCTCAACTGCTGTCTACTCGCAGCAGCACGGGTGGCAAACAGACACAACATGGGTAAAGGTCAATAAAAAATAAATAACTTTTCAGACACTCACAGACCACATTTTTAATAATAGTAATATTTTAATATATAATAATAATGGCCTTTTTTTTTTTTTTACTTACAGGTCAGGCCGTCCACAGACTGGGCGCTGTTCTGGGGGTTCCGGTAAATGTTCAGGAGGGCAATCGTCTGAAGCACAAACGTTGATGATGATGAGCACTTATACACATTGGGTATCAAATTACAATATTTAGCAGGTCAAGCCAATCCCAAAATCAAAAATTGTGATTGTAAAGTACACTTTTATTTTGTGCGCAGTTTATTAACTCTTATCTGCCATTTCTGTGAGGTCTGTGCTGCTCTTTTATCAATTTGAATACTAGAAATAAAACTCGAGACTCGGCAACTTACCTGGCTAAATGTCGGCTTATTGTGTAATCTAGAGCAGCGGTCACCATGTCGGCAGGCACCAATTTTAAAATAAAAAGAGCAGTTCACCCTGTAAAACAAAATATATTAAGAGCACTGAAAAATGGGAGGCTGTACTCTCAGGTGAGGTAAACATAAAAACAATGTTTATTAATATTTCTGAATACAAAAAAAACAAACAAACTGATACCCTAAAAGATCTAGATAGGACTAGAAAACATACAACACATAACAAATAACATTAAAAAGAACAAGTATGGAAAACCCTGTGAACTCCTGGTAGTTTACATGACTACTGACATTATTTCTTATTTCATTGTATCTTCTTCCAGCTGCTTCTACCTCAATCTGCCTTTCCTCCTTCACTACATTCATCAATTATCTGTTGTTTTCCTTGTTTCCCTCCTTCCTAGCAGCTCCATATTCAACATCCTTTGTCCAGTATTTTCACCACGTCCAAACCATCTGAACCTTGCTTCTCTATCGTTGTCTCCAAATCACTTAACTTGAGCCATCCTATTTTACATATATACTCATTTCTAATCCTGTCCATCAAGGTCATTCTCAATGTCAATCTAGCATATTCAACTGTTTTTTTGTCAGTGCCATTATCTCCAAACCATGCATCATAGCAGGTCTCACCCCTGACACTCCTGCATGCACACTCTTCTTCAACTGTTGTTTCGGATGACTGTATGGCCCAATATTTCAGAATTGTTTATAATACTGAAAAAAGTACGTTTCCGTCACCTTCGAGTTGTACCATTTACTTAAATGGTAAATTTCAAAATTCTATTGTACAAAAAAAATCAGCTCAATTTCTTCATAATCGCTCTGCTCTAATACACCCAAACTACTGCTGGTTACACATTCCACTTTCACTTTACATGATCATTTTACTCAGTATTGAACCGTTTTCACTCAGTATTATTATTTAAAAAATTTTTAATAACAACCCATGAAGTTTTACACGTTTTCATTTCAATGTCTGCTTTACATTTCTACGAGGCTACGTTGCTTCATTGGGCATAAAAACGCTTTTTTGTTGGCGGTTCAGCAAATTAACTGTTACAACCCGGAAAGAGGACAATAGAAAAAAAAGTGCAATGAATAAAATAGCGGTCTAGACAAATTACAAAGACGAAGTTCATTTACCTAAATGCGATTAAGGAGCACTTGTAGTACGTTGGAGGTTTCCATTGTTTCAAACACGTGTGAGTTTTACAAAGTATGATATTTGTTAACGCCAATAAAGGGTCTAGTTTGTGCACCACTTACGCTCAACTTTGAATATGAATTTACTATATTTTCATTTAAAGTTACCCGCTGTGATTGCTTTCTGGCCAGCTCAGCACTGTTCATCACCCAGATGTTGCTAGCTAGCTTTTAGCACGAGCGGCGCGGTTTTTCACTTGCGAAAGCTAGCATATCGCGCTAGCAGATAAAGCCACAGAAGCCTAGCCAGCTGCATGCTGTAAATACCACAAGACCAAATCCTGTCAGCAAAAAGTAGCCATAGGATAAACAGATGAAAATTAATACTGAAATTACCAAGTTAACATTAAATACTTACTTATCTTTTTCTGTCCCAAAAATGGATGCTAGGTACTCCGCCATCTTGGCTCGCTTGTAGCGTCAACAATTGTATTTCCGGTAAAGGGCCTCCAAAGTAAAAGCCTAACCTCTGTCTGCGCTAATAATAATAAAAATTAACAGTTTATAAGGCACCCATTCATAGTATCTTTGTAAAATTATTTTTTTTTTTACCAGCATAGGGAACTGTCCTTTAAATTTAAAATGTAAAACGTGCTCAACTGCATAATGGTGGCATCATTAAGTTAAATTATCCCCTGGCCCTGTACAATGAACGGTTAAAATTTATTTATTTATGTGTGGCTCAAGAGTTAAAGTTTCTTTTGTTTCTTGCCCCCTTTTTTAAGATTAGAAACTCCCAAAATATTCCTCAACAGAGAAAAATCATTTATATTTGTACAAAAGCCCCATACTCTTACAGATTTTACATCTGATTATTTATTTTATATCCAGCTAATTCGACCCTTAATCTAGCAAATCTAGAGTTGACATATTTCAGAATTCACTAATCAACTTAAACTTGTTTTAAATTTTGATAAAATAAGGTCTATATTATACACATGCTTATTTAAAAGTATCCAGCCAGTCCATATTGAAACAAAATGAAACTACTGATTCTTATGGATGTTTAAGACTCTGCCTGGATGCTAGTCTCATTTTTAAGACCTATGTGGAACACCTGTGAAGAAAATCAAAAGGAAAGATTGGATTCATATTTTGAAACAAATTCTGTTTTTCAATCATTAGTCATCACATAGCTTTACAAGTCACAATTTTGTCTCTGTGTTATTATGGTAATATTGCTAATATACATGCTTCTGCATCCATCTTCAAGTTTCTTGATTCAGTCTCACAGTTGTAATTTATCAAAGCAGAATCTTTTCTTATTCAACCTTGCTATAATATGAAAAGATGTGATGGTAGCATTGTGTGATGTTTATTTCCAAAGTTATACTGCAAAGATTGCCTGATTACCTCTGCTCTTTGATTACTATTAAATCAAAAATTAGATTTAAATGGAACAAGCAACAAGTCTCTGATTTCATTGGATCTGCATCTGAATCCCTGTATTCTTTTTCTTTCTGTACACAAATGTTTTTGAAAAGGAGATCTCAATCTCAGTGCATCAACCTGTTTAAATGAAGGATTTAACAATAGTTCACATGTAAGTGTGTGTATTTGATTTCCTTAGAAATGGTTTAATAATTTACCGATTTAGCTTTCTTGATTACATTTTCATATTACATCATTAAAAAAACAAAATGATAAATTTTGTTTGATAAAATGATAAATTACTGCAACATCTAACTCCTTGAAATACATGAAAGTGATACACAAAACCGACTTGCAATGTTTTACAAATAAAATAAGGAAACATGAATGCTATGGACTTCATCAGAAGATATTTATTTAGTAATCTCTATATTTTACATGTCAAAACATTACAGGGAATCAAAAGGAAACATAACCACATGTTTAGTGGATAGATTGGCTGGTCCATTGCATTATGTTTGCGGCTCCTTTACGAAAAAAAAAAGAACAGCAAAAACACATGTAGGGTCTATACCAATCAAAGTAAATAGTAAATGGCCTGTATTTGTATAGTGCTTTTCTATAAAACTTTCCTATTAGTTATAATCCCATCAGTGATAATAATGCACATCAATATAGGCATGGACAAAAAACTGAAACTAGACCCTGAAAAGTTTATATATTTACTTATAATGTAGCACTTTTCACAGACAGACAGTCACAGTGTTTTGTACAAAATAAAAAGTAGGAATAACCAGAAATAAAAATATAATAGCAACTTAAAATGAAGTTTAAAGCAAAAAACCCCAACATGTTAGAAAAGAGAACACCAAAAAAATGCGAGAATAACATAATAATCTTAGTAGAAATCTGCTTTTTACAGAGGTGGTGTGTGTCAAAGGCGGAAAATTCAGCCTACTCCTAAAAGGAAAAAGAAGTTGAGATAGGGGATCATGTGGGGATGCACACAGCTCATTTCTTTGCCCAGAGCAACTGTTGCAAATATTTGAAATAGCTCAGTACAAAACTTTTGCTTTTCACACGCTTTTCAGTACTGAAAACAGTCTGTAGCATACATTAAGGAGAAAAACTAAAAATCAGTTACGGGAGGGCATGGTTGCAGTAAAACTGATTAAATTTATGGTAACATTTTCAAGAGACTACCTTTATATTTACAGTTGGTCCTATTAAAAGGCATTTTATTTAGCCGTTAATGTTATCTAGTCAGGATACATCTGGACTAGACATTTGTTCCTAAATTGCCACAAAGTTGGAGCTGAGAAAGGCACGTCCAGCTACTATTGAAACATTTAGCTGACGGTTTTTCCACTACACAGACTTTAAGGTAACTACAGTCTCTCCGGTTAGTCTCCGCCCCTCCTCAGATTGAGTGTAGTTGGCTAAAAACTTGCATGATATCTCTCGACTGTGTGCATTTTTTTGCCGATTATCTTCCACAATAGAACATCAACATCTCTGAAGGTCTAAATTTTAAGAGGTATGATTATTTCAGAGACAGATATGCTTGTTGTGAGGAAAATGTACCACACCGTCGTCACGTTTGTTGTATCTGGGGTGTTCCCGCTATTTTATGTAGCTCAAGCAGCAAAGCTAACCTAGCTAGCGTGTTGTTGATTCCTAGTCAGCCTGCTGGGAAGAGGCCGCCCACCTACGAGGCAGAAACCCACAGTATTAGCCAACTTCCACAAAGGCTAGGCTAACGCTGGCTCCCTCGGACTTTTGCTTCCTCTTCGGCTTGAAAATAGAAATAACGTTGGTTGTTATAGCAGTCGCTAGTTAGCTGTTTTGCTAACAGCACAGTGGAGAAGCTGCGTACTGTCGCGGTGCTGATTACCGTCCAACCACAAACTCAGGGTGGGTATAATTCCATACGCGGTGAAACAGATTTTTTTAGTTCTTTCCTCTCCTTATTATCCATTTACACGTCTAAATGAGCGTTGTTTCAGTGTATCTCGGTCGCTTTCCTCTAAAACTTGTCGTTGGGTCGATCATCGCTGCTCTCGGAAGTCTTGCAACGCTGTAAAACCTTAGCCAGGATTTCCGGCTCCTTTCCATTTGCCCTATGCTGTTTTGTTTCCGTTTATTCTATTTCCGTTTTAAAAGTTTTCTACGTGCAGAGTTAAAGTGTGCTTTAACAAAGATTTGCTGAAGTTACGAAGCACTCGGAGTTTATAGGATATTTTCACGGTTGTTTAGCACGCCGGGATCGATGGTTGTGTAATGCAGCTGCCTCGCCCCGCGTTGCTATATTGAAGCTAACTTGTTTTTTGTAGGCCTGCTTCACTGTACACGTGTAGCCTAACGCATAAATTTGAGTTTGGTGAATTTTTCCAACACGTTTTTTGGACGTGTAGTTATACGTGGTTACTATTTTCTGTAACTACTGGCCTACTAGTTGGCCTTTATAAGCCACAGCCTCGCCCTCGAGTTGGCTAACGTTAGCAGTCACTGAACTGTTGTAGACGGCCAATGAGGAGTCGAGGCTGAGAGGCCTTTATGGTAGAAAACCCCCATCAAAGTGCCCTGTTTTATTTAACAGGAACAGTATGCTCTTTAAGTTACACGACAGTGAAGTCGTCATTGTTATTTACACTGTAGTATGTATTAGTTGTTTGTATTACTTCGATTAAAGAAATTACAACAGAAAGGTGTTATTGTAGTGATATTGCCCTGTTAATACCTAGTTTCATATTTATTTTTAAACTTTTTTAAAGAACGTAATTATTCGTTTAATAATTTATTAGTTTAAAAGATCTATTAAATATCGTTTTTCAAGTATGTTTTATTTTAGGAATTTATTAGAAGATTACAAGCTATATCAAAACAACCACTTTTATGTTTATTTTCACTTTATTTTTACTTAAATGTTTTTAAGAAAGTAAGTTTAGAAATTTAGTAAAAGATCAATTAAATATCCACTTTTATCTAGTTCTTTTTAACTTTAAATTAGTATTTTAAATGATTATTAGTTCTATCAAAAATCAACTTTTTTTTTTTTTTACAATTTTAGGTAAAAAATATTACTTGATTTATTTATTAGTTGATTAAAAAGATAAATTTTGTTTAATGATTTCATACTGTATTTGTTATAATTTTGTTTTACAAAGCCAAAATTTGCTTGCACCAACTTTGGCTGTTTAATATAATTTTTGTGATTTAAAAATAAATTTAATTAATATTAGTCTTTACAAATGGGTTAATTAAATTCTGATTAAAATATATTTTTGTTTATGGATTGTCTAAAAGTAACTAAGGTAACAAAGACTCTTTCCCCATATAAATATATGTGGACCAGTCCTTCTTACATGTGTAGTGACCCCCAGAGGCCTAGTTTGGATCTGAAAAAAAATAATGGTGCATCTCATGTTATAAAGTTATTCCAAAAAAACCAAAACAAAAGCACATGCATTGATAAGTCAGTGCAGCATGGTGTTGTGTTGGTTAGCACCATCACCTGGGTTGGACTCCCGCCCAGCTGTGAACGTAAATTGGATAAGCAAGAGGAGATGGATGGATGGAATGCCATTAATAATCACTACAAACATCAATTTGATGTGCTGGATAGATTTTTGGGTTTTCTAATTGAAATTAGCTGTTTAATTTAACAGTGAGGAGGAGGATAGAAGCTAATTATAGTTTTAGTTTAATTTTAGCATTTTTTTAAGTGATTAATTAGGTAGTGTGGCCAGCTACCTAATTAAGAGTTTATTGGTTCTTTTCTTTTATGCTGATTATCTGGTTGACAGTAATTTTTGTTTAATGTGTCACTTTATATTCGTGTTGGTAAAACGTTATCTCCCAGCAGAATGTCTAAAAGTGAGCCAGAAGAGATGATAGAGATCGAGATAGATGAACGGGAGAAACAGGCATGCCTGGAAGAAGGGTGAGAGAGATGATTGCATAAATAAAACAATTAATTTGTTCATGCAGCAGCTGTGTTTTTACATTTCTGTCTCATGTTATTTGATTTGTAGTGTTGAGGAGCAGACCATCACTGCGTCAGATTTGATTCAGCAAGATATCGACATAAACGA